TTTCCCTACCATTAGGCTTGGAGGAATAATGCTTTTTCCAGGATCACCTGAAAATTAGAAAGTCTCAGAACTTAGAATATTTTGGTTTGGTTTCATGGCAATTCTTTGCTTCCCCCCCCTCCCCCCCCCCTTTTTTTTTCTTTTTTTTTCTTTTTTTTCCCTTTTTTTTCTTTTTTTCTTTTTTGCTTTTTTTTTTTTCCTTTTCATTTTTGCTTTGACTAAGTGGTCAAGTGTCAGATGTTTTAAAAAAAAATGGGAAAAAATGAACCTGATGCTTATCAACAGTTCTATTGGTGCGTTTTCAGGCTGTGAGCCCTTGCTGCTTAATTGTGATCCTGCCATTGCGTGCGATTTTGACTTTATACATAACTAATTTTAAAAGTGTGTTTTGCAGCTCGATTTTGGCTAAAATCTATAGTAAAAACAAAAAAAAACCCAACACAACCACACACACATAAAAAACAAAACAACAAAAAAACCCCCCAAACCAACAACAACCCCCAAAACCCAACAAGTAAATACTTACTTGCTACCTTGATTTCCTTGTGTCTTAGTCTTGCTGGTCTAATCTTCACTCGTTAAGGTACTTAGTTAAGTTGATCAACTGAGCTTGAATGTAATATATTAAAATGTTTTTCTTAATATTGTTCAGTATTTTCCTGTGGAGGTTTTAATTTAAACACAGCATGTTATAGATATGCTGAAGTCAAGCAAGTTTATACCTTTTTTTTTTAACACGTTATGTATTCTGCCTACTTAATAAAAATTATCTGTATTTAGCCTATTTTGTTTGACAGCAGTGTTTTACAGTTTGTATAACTGATAACTTTCTGTAAAGCATTGGATGTCCTTAGGAACAGTTTTTTACTTAAATGCTAAGTATCAAACTCCTCTCTCTCTCTCTCTTTCTTTGTTTAAAGGCATCGCTGCTCCGGAGGTTTCAGAGTACGTTAGTCATAGCAGAACACAACAATGATACTCTTACACCCATTACACTAAATACTATCACTGCGGCGAAACGTCTTGGAGGTGAAGTTTCTTGTTTAGTAGCTGGTACCAGCTGTGACAAGGTAGGAAATGCTATTTTCCTGTGAATGAAATAATGAATGCAGTGAAACAATACTTGGTAGCATCTTGGTCAGCCTGAAAAATAATCTGTAGTGAAGAGGAACTGTGCCAGGAATTGCTAATCTGCCGGAAATGTCCTGCGCTTGAACTGCTTCTCTTTTGAAGTGAAAATATGGGTATAGATTTCATTTCACAAGGGAGAATATCAATATCAGTTTTTATAAGCTTAAGCAAGCAAATTTTTAGGCGACTAAAGGGCAATTAACTTTTAAAACAATATTTCCCTGTAAAGTTTGAAAGACAAATATCGCAGTGCTAAGAACTTGGGAAGAAGCTTGCACTTGTTCAAATGGAAACCAGCAGAAATGAAACAGAGCAGTGACGTATAGGGCTTCTGAGCATCTTGCTTTTACTAGTCAACTACTAGTAGCATAGAGAGAGTGCGTTTGCAACCTAAAATTCTGAAATTAGTGCTTCCTGACTTTATCATATAGCTCACGTCTAAAAAAAGTTTCTTGTATGTTAACTGTTGTTAGGCTAATTTTTATGTGCAAAATCTAGAGACAATATAGTTAGTACATTAGTGACACTTTTATTCCAGCATGATGTACTCTTGTGTGAACAGTAAAAATACACATAATTGTGCCTAATATTTTTCATACTAGGCTATTGTTTGTGAATTGTTACTCTGAAAGCAGTATGTAGCCGGCATACTTATGGCATACTTATGGCAGCTAATTCACAAACAGGTGGAGAAACCTCAGTGGCTATTCTAAATGGAGACCCAGGTGTTTGAGGTGGAGACCTGGGAGCAAATATTTATCTCTATCAAGAAAATGAAAAAAGAAAAAAAAAAAAAAAAAGTAATTTTGCCTGATATGTCCTTATTCTTTGGCACTTGCATAGTAGAAAAATGATTGGGAATGTTTTGTGGGTTTGTTTTTTAATACTAAGTGTATGGTGTCTATTTAAGAACGTATGTCATGCTGGGAAAAAGTACTTTACAAAAAAAGAAGGTTTGGGGTTTTTTTAAGTTTCTTTGTAAGAATCTGTATTGATAGGACAAAAGAGCCAGTTACTCAAACAGATATTCTGTAGCAGCTATTATGGAATTTTTGTTTATTTCCTCTTGTTAAATTTGAGGGTAAACTGATACTCAGCAAACTCAGTAAAACTATGCTAGTTCTGGGACGATGCATGTGGTCTCCAGACACTGCTGTCAGTCCTCTTCTCTCTGATCTGCAACAATCCTTTTATCATTTAAACTTCACTTCTGCAAATTTAAAGGAAAAAATGCATAAATATAGAATTGAAAATATACATCACATCAGTAGGCAAAGAGTCAGCTGCAAACAAAGGATTGCTCCTAAAATTTGGACGAAGATCATAACATCGCTGTACGTTTGTATTTGCGTTGTATGCTTGTGCGGTAGATACTGGCCGATTTAAAAGAAAGTAAGATTGGTTTCTTGATGGTTATATCAGAATACTGAGCAATAATCCTCAAGTGTGATTATTATTGGCTGTTGTAATAAATCATGAAATCATTGTGTAATCCTGCATAGAGAAAACAAGCTTTCCTGTGTTTGATTTGCTTTATAGTTTTCTTATTCACAAAATTCATTTTCATTATCCCATAAGGCACTATGCTGTGAATCAGAAGATCTGCATTTTGTTCCATCAGGTTCATTCTGATTTTGAAATTCACATACTTTTATGTTCCGGTTTTAACTAATCTATGGGCTGTGAGCTCTTTGCAGTAGGGACTCTCTCTTGTTACTTGTTTGTCGTGCCTGTTATAATACAAACTAATAATAATTCATTTGTAATCATAGGTAGCACAAGAACTCAGCGAAGTGCAGGGTGTTGCAAAAGTTCTAGTGGCTCAGCATGATGTATACAAGGGATTTCTAGCAGGTGAGATTGTTCTTACCTATTGACAAAAGAAATGGTATTTATATTTGCGATTGAAAATAAGATAGTTGTAAATTTTGAGCAATATATTTTTATCCTCAGAGGAGCTGACTCCCTTGATTTTGGAAACTCATAAAAAATTTAATTACACCCACATTTGCGCTGGAGCATCTGCCTTTGGGAAGGTAAGTAGATCAAAGTGCATCAAAAATTTCTCGTAGAAAAGAGACAGAGACACTGTTGTTTGTAAGAGTGTGAATCAAATGCCTGAGAGAGGTCAGCCATGGACAGTTTTGAGTTTTCAAAAAATGTTACAGTAGTTCGCTTAAGAGGTCATTCGTTAGAAACACTGATTCGTGTCTGAGTTTTATTATGGGCTGACTTGGACAAAGGAACAGTGTAGAAGAAATATTTAGTGGTAACCAGCTAGTTCTATGTACACAAGGCAAAATGTACAGTAACACAAAATAGATTAAGTGATGTGAAAGCATTATGAAAATTGTAAGGAGAAGTACAGTAAATTGAGATGAAAAATGTATGATTTGCATGTTGAAATGAAAGTGTGCAGGCCTATTGGAAGCAAATTTCTTTTGGAGGGGGGGAATTGCATCTATGATGTAAGTCATGTAAATTGAAATGTCTGTAAATATATGTAAATAACACAGATCCAAGTCCTAGCCAAGATGTTTTTTAATGAAAATACAGTTTTTCAAAACTTGTTTTTTAAAGAGTGTGTTTTTAAGTACACGGAGAGCCTCAGTACTAACAATCTGGTCAATGTTGTGGTGCAGCTAAATTAGAGAAAAAGGATACTTCAGAAATCTCGCCGATGTGGGATGAATAACGACATCAGCCTTCCATCTGACTACTTTCACTTCCAGTCAATATCACTCTGTATACTTGTAATTTTGCTGAGAGAAATCTTTACATACTTAAGTCTTAGGGGTTTTTTAATTTTATTTTTTCTTTTTATTTTTGGTCTGCAGTGTCTTAGTAAAGGTTAATAGCTTTTGCTTTGAAGCTTACATTTCCATTTTTGAGTGCTTAGTGTGGGTAAAAATTTCAGAACTGGGCCCTTTGTGTTGTACCAGATTAGGAGGGGGACAAAAAGCAAGCAAAGCTTTTGCTGTCATTAGTTTCTTTATGATTTATGTTGCTCTTTTTATCCTCCTTTCCATTCCTAAAGGTGCTAAGTAATTTTCTGGAGTCAATTTCAGAGCAGCAGAATATGTATTTTAACATTAATTTTTAAAATAATTTTTTTTTGCTTTTTGGGGGAGAGTGCAGGGTTTTTTTTCCTATTGTCTCTGGTAACTAGCTTCCAAAAATGTGTTTGGTTTTTTTTTTTTTTCCCTTGAAGTACTAAGAGCTCAGCAATCCATAATTGTCAATTTTGCATCTATATTCTGTTTTAAACTATTGAAGCAAATAAGCCTCCTAATTTAAGATATTGAATTAAGGGTTTACTTACAGTAAGTCTCATAATATGTCTAATGTTATTACAATAATGGGATTTTATTTGGTTGCTAAAGCTACATGAGTAGCCTTACAAAAATGTTACAGTTGTATGTGCCTTTTTACTTACAGACAGCATTATATGAAGTTAAAATTGGGACAGCAGGCATTCTTCTGCTGACCATGTGCATTTTACTTAGCATTTACTTTGCTAACTTTTCATCTTTAACTTTTAGAATCTTATTCCCAGAGTGGCTGGCAAACTTGATGTTGCCCCCGTTTCTGACATTATTGAAATTCAGTCACCAGACACTTTTGTGAGAACTATCTATGCAGGTGGGTAATCACAAAAGGTATGTGGTATTTGTGCAAAAAAGGACCTTATACTGATAACTTTTCTACATAATCATGTTGTTAGAACCTTGGAATATGATAGGAATTTTCACTTTACGATCTGAATTGCTGTGGTTCATAAAAATGAAACCTGGGGATGGACACGATGCTCCATGTGTGAGAAAGCAAGTAATCCCAACAACTTTGGTACTGTCAGTTAGAAACCAGGTCTATCGCTTTAATTAATAGAATTTGGTAATCTCCTTTATACATACTGCATTTCTTTGTTAATGTTCTTCTGATCAGATTTTGTAAAGCGTAAGACATTAAGTTAATTGTCCAGCTTTATTTAATATGACTAGCATTAGTTCTGATTTAAGATACCGCAGGGTTATTTTTCCTAATTATGAAGACATTGAACTAATTATTTATAATATTTAATTGACTTAATTTGCAATTCTTTTTTCAGTCTTGTTTCTCTAATGTTTGTCTGACACTGTGTTTTAATCTAGATATAAGCTCATTAGCTTGTGTTTCTTAATTTTACTGTACGCGATTGTACCACGTGTACCAGCATGGTATTACATTTCGAGTTACGTTACCAGAATGTGGTTTTTATTGCACTTTTAAGTTGCTTCCCAGTAATTCACCGTTTCAAGATGACTTTGCTTATGAATAGCTGGTGTTGCAGCATTTTTCTCTTTTAGTGTTCCCTGCAGTCTCCAGTGTGAAGTAAATACCTTCTATTGAGAGAAACACAATCCCATAGATACTTGGGGTAGGCCTCATTGTCTTCTGTTCTGATGAATTCATGCAACAGGATAAAAGATCTACTTTAAATTATAGACACTCTTTATGTTTAAAAATTACACTTTCAAAGTTGGGTTTTTTTCCCCCCTTCTGAAATTTAAAAGCTCATTCATAAGAGATTATTTGAATGCTCTGTATCCTTCAAAAATAGAGGATTTGTTATTATACTTCAGAAACATGGAGCTGAAAAATAAATTAAAATATTTGTGATCTACATTTATTAAGTGCCTAGGCTTCAAGTTTTGGTCATCTAAAACTGCAATTTTGGGAAGTAACTTTCTGAATGTTGCCTATTCTAGTAGGACTGCTAATTTGTTTCTGATGCTAATTTTATTTGTTTTTCAAAAAGCGTAGTATGTCTGATATTATCTTCTTTAAAAATATAATGTGACCCTTTTTTTTAGGAAATATTCTTTGCACTGTGCAATGTGATGAAGCGATTAAAGTATTTACTGTACGGGGAACTTCTTTTGAGGCTGCACCAACAAGTGGTGGTAGTGCCAGTTTAGAAAAGTGTGAGTATTTGTTCTGGTATTTTGTCATTTCATGTAATAGAGTTAGTTTTGCTCTCTGCACCGTGATGTTTTGCAGAAGTATTTGCCAAAGCAAACTGATTGTCATAATCTTAGCTTTTTGCTTTTAGTACGGGTACTTATAGAATCATAGAATCAT